AGTTCCAGGCCTCACGAGGGCATCTCGTCCAAGATAACGGCAAATATCTGCTTGGATGACCTCACGGCTGATACCATCTTGATCGATAAAATATTCATTGAGTCGAGTCTGAGGCTCCGGATCATCATATCTTATGGGTTGTCGCTGTGCCATTTTTATTTCCAAGGTACAGGAACAGAGATGAAAAAGAAATAGAAACTAAAAACCCTGGTTTTCACGGCTGGAAGGAGAGAGATGAAGACGGAGTCCTAGTCCAGGTGGAAGAATGTACAGATATCCCAAGTTTACGTCTCCGGAAATTTGAAGCGGGCCGAAGACGGGTGTATCTGGAAGAGGTATAATGTTTCCTGGTGCTTTAACAAAAAAGGGGATCCAGGGCAGAGCAAGACAAAAGTAGAACAGCTGTGAAAGGAAAAGAAACCTCTGGAAAAAAAAAAAAGTAGCAACTTGTTAGGGAAAAAAAAAAAGATGAAAGAGTCAAGTGACACAGGGAGCAAATCCTAGAGGGCTGATAGATGCATATATGTCCTTTGGGTTAGGTGAGTTCTCAGGCAGAAAGATACGAGGTTCTCAGCGTTCTTTTGGCGCCTAAAAGTGAGGACTCCTTTTGCGATCTTCTTTTTTGTTTTTGTTTTGCGTATGTTTCTTTTTTTTTTTTCTTTTGATTCTGCAGTATCTTCCCTAAGAGAGGAATATAGATGTGTGTGTAAGAGTGTATGTGTAAACCTGGATGCAGGGGGAGGTGTTTCCTTGGGAACGGATCCAAATGGCGGATGTAACAGTCCTCTTTTGGGGTCCAAAATAATAATAATATACCCACAACAATACCAGAAGCCGTGTGCAACTGCTCCTCAAAAGGTATGGTGATGTAGTAGTATTGGAAGTAGATATTGTCTATGGCTGAAACAGAAGTAATCCCAGATGGAGAGTGGCCGGGGGAGTCCTACGGGAAGCCTGCTGGTTCACTGTTGGAAAATGTGGTATTGAGAGCAACCGACTGAGGGCGAAACCGGGCGCAGAGATAGTCCTTTGGCCAGCAGCACAACTTGTCACCTCTTGAGATGCGGCAGAGAGCAAGCACAGAGAGGGAGAAATAGATAGAGAGAGAGATAGAGAGAGCGCGCGTCGCGAGAGCTGGAGCAGCAAGCTTGAGGTTGAAGAGACGAGGTTGAGAAAACGGCGGAAGAAAGGGAAGAAGAAGGAAGAGGAAAAGAAGGAAGAAGGAAGAAGAGAAGAAGAGAAGAAAAACTGGCGAGACGACGCAGCAGGAGGAGGAAAAAGACGCCAGGAAGGGCAAAAAGTGGGTCTGCGAGCGGCGGGCGGTGATTGGCTGGCTGCTGGATTGGGTAGTTATTATTGTTTGCTTGGGCTGGACAGGGCGAGGAGGAGCAACAACAAGAAAGAAGAAGAGGAAGAAGAAGACGACGATGGGGACGATGGGGACGATGGGGACGATGGGGACGATGGGGACGATGGGGACGGGGACGAGGGACGGCGAGACGAGATAAGCGAGGTGAAAAGGGAGAGACGGGCAGGGCAGCTGGGGGGGTTAGCTGGTCAAGGCGACGATAAGGGTGAGTGGTAACGGGTAGCTAACCACGGTTCAGCGTGTTACTAACACCGAGACAGGGCAGCAGCAAACTCTACGCAGTACTCCGTACGGACGGCGGTTTGGACGAGCAGATCGGTCGACCAGAACAAGGGCTTGCCCATCTGATAGAGTTATGCCGGCTCGAGATCAACGCCTGAAGAGCCTGTCTGGCCCCCTTATCCTCCCTGAAAATTTTCAGTCTCGATGGCGTCCTACATGGCTGCAAGAGAGGGCGGGCTGATTGGGTGCGGTGTTGCCGCTGCTTGTTAGGCACTCATGCAGCTCTCCCTTGGGCACTCACCCAACCCTCCCACACCTCCGCTGCTGATACACACCACAGACAGCCCAGCAGGCCAAAGGTTGTCCACTCACGCTCAAGTCTGAAGACCCTGTCCTTCCATGACTCCCTGCGTCCAGCAGAATCTCCCTCTCAGCCGCCTCGTACGGCCTGTCAAACAAAAATAATTAATATAAAAAAAAAAAAAAAAAAAAAAAAAAAACAAACCTTCCCTATGGAGACCTTGCTCAGGTGCCAACTACCAATAACATCCAAGTTAGGTGAAATTCCCGGGCATTTCTCTCCACTCTGGCCAGCTAAGCTACAGTGTTTTTCTGGATGCAGGGGAGAGGGCTGATAAAATAATAATGGTACCATCATACTGGATTCGTCTAAGCATGAAAAGTCACGGCGCAAAAGCTGAGGTCATACGGAGTACACTGCTCCGTATCTGCCTGGGAAAAGAAGCTCCATCTGTCCTTTCTGATGGGTACGTGAGCCTCACGTCGCAATTTTCGTGATAAATAAACAAAACCTATGGAGACTACGGAGTACGAAGTACGAGGTACTCCGTACAGGTATATGTGATGTCGTTAATTATCGCGTGGCTGGTTTGGGGTTATATTGGCCCAGTTGAAAATGATCTCAGAGCGTTGCAGGTGGCTGGATATTCCTTTTTTGAACTGCGAACGAACCATCGATAAAAAGAGATGGTAAGACGTCGGATCGGACCCTCCGACTCGTCAGATCTACGGAGTACATGGAACACCTAACTGGATGATATGGGCGACTTTTCCGGGACAAAAGGATGCTGAAGAGAGGATGTCCTTCTATCCTTTTGTGAGTTTAAAAGAAAGGCGGTGGGTGCTAACTGGTATATTCTTTCCGTTTCTATATTGGCGAATCACAACTAGCTATTGTCAAGGAAGGGCAAATTATGTCCAAATACCCTCAACTAACATTTTTCTCTTATGTATCATGGATATAATGGAACTTGCACGTCTCACAGCTTAGTCTGCTGCACGTGAGCAGCCGAGACGACTTTGAAATTCAGTCGCGGAAAGTGAATGCGGATATCAAACCTGCTATCTGCCGTCTTTCGTTGCAGCACTATCTCCTTTGAATTCAACCCAATAAGGGCCCCAGCATCCTGGTGAGTTGATCCTGAATCAGTGGGCCAAACCAGCACTTCCTCGCCCTTCTCAAGCCCAAGTGGATCTGAGTCATCGAATTCGGCGTCAATTTGAGCAAACGACTCATGCTGGAGACCGTCAAGCACTTCGCTACCGGACACAAGCATCTCTTCCATCTTTCCCTTTGCGTGTGACAGGGCTTGCCTAAATCGGGTAATCCAAGCAAATACTTTGGGGTGGCTGGCCTCAGAGATGATGCTGTCCTCCAAGGATCCCATGTCAAGAACCCAGTCCAATGCCCAAATGGCTAAATAAGGAAAAAAAAAAAAAAATAACGCAAGAGAAAATGTCAGTCTCCCAATTGAATCCATGGAAACCATTTCCAGACATCCCACGACATGTCCGGGACAAGCGAGGAGAAACAGGGAGCAAATGAGAGACATACCGTGTATATCTGCAAGGGTTGGCTTTTCCGTCTTGCGGAGCCAGTCCCTCCCATCTGCTAATAACGTTGATTCAAGAAAGTCAAAGGCACGCTTTACTTGAACCATCGCCTCGCCCCTAAGACTGGGCATATCCTCCATCTTCCACTTTGGACCGGTAAGGAAGGTAGATCTGTCCTTCAAGAATGCCGGGTCCCGTAAAGATGGCAGGTCAAGTGGCATCAGGAGAACTGCATTGAGAAACAGTCCTCCATCCGTCGACCATGTTTCAAGTAAGTTCTCCAGAGCTTGCCCTTCGCCGTCTGTGGCACCAAGCCTTCCGTCCGGGAACTGTTCCTCAAGCTTTTTGATAATCAAGCGAGTGTCACAGTATACATCCTTCCCGATGCTCAAGACGGGAATTCGTCGGTACTTGACGCCGAGAGCCTCTAGGTCCGGTCGTGGCATAATGAGTGGTTGCAACTGAATATTCTGTCAACATGCATGCTCCCTGCTACAGCTAATAGGGTATTTTTATCATACGCATTGTTTGTGCTGAATCCCACGCAGAGTGAGGTACCTTCATACCATTGGTTAATCAAACAACGTTCAATTTTTGGTGTCTCTTTTTTTGCTATTGGTAGAGCATTATTTAATTACATACCAAGAAACTCGCCTGGCATAGGGTGACAGCGAATAGTGGAATAGGACTGGCTTTACTTCTGAAGACATTACTACTTGATTCACAAGTTATCTGGGTCCAGAATTGATGATCTTGGATAGACGATTTACTTGAAATCCTGCTTGACTTTATATCTAATGGCTGCTTCCCAAGGGGCGCGCCCTGGCGGCCGGGGGTTTCAGGAGATGCCGAGGCACAATGGAATATAGTTTACCCGCTGTTTCTGTCGCTTATTTATCCAATTAAAGGAAAGTATCGCCTATGGACACGCGATAAATAGCCGCGCACTCGATCACAAATGGGAGGGGCCTTTATGAAGTAAAACGCCCTCTGAACTGAACCATGGACTTCACCCAAGGCTGATTCCTACGCATAATTCAATTACAGTTTTCGCGTTTTCTATGTGTATTCACAATGCTCCCTCACTACTTAACGAGCAGCTATTTGCAATACAAACAAGATACCAATGCTGTGGCTTCATGGCTTGCCAAAACCGCTAAAGTCTGTGGATACGAGATTGAACATCAGAGTGACCAGCCCAAAAAAGGAGGCAGGGCTAAAGGGAAAGCAAGAAAAGCAGCCCGAGCCGCTCAGTCTTCTACGAATTCCTCCACCAAAAGCTCCGCGTCCGTCAAACCACAGACATATGTCATTGCAGTTCGCGACTTTATCCCCCTTGCCGAGACTATTGTAAAATGCGAAGCACCTCGAGTCCGAGTCCCGTCCACATTTATCACAGCCATCGAACGAGCTATATCTGCAAGACGATCTCACCATAGCATTCTTGGAGAAAAGAGGAAGACAAATGAAGATGGACATGGTCATTTCATCAGCGTTCTCGAACGCGTTCAAAACATTCTACGACCTTTGTTCGTAGATGAGAACAAAGAGGGCTTGGCTAACAAATTTGAGAAGCTTGATGTCGAGGAGCCTTCGGATGAGCGTGCTCCTACCCCAGATACCACCAAACCAGAGCCTCCAGAATCCGGTTCAGACGCAACCTATGAAGCAGAAAGGGCACAAGACATCAACGAGATGTACAGCGCTTACTGTCTTATCATCCAAGATTACCGCGCTTTCCGTATTGCAATACAGGAGACCTGGTTAGGCTACCGGGACGGTGTCTTTGATCTTGTTTCTGCGTCGATCATGACCAACACAGCTCTTGAATTTGCCCGCCAGTTAGAGAAGGATGCAGCACCGTTATTTAACAAATTTGGGGGTTCGGCCATGCTCATGGAAGCAGTATTTACGGCTCAGTGCCATAATATGGGAGAAGATAAAGATTTCAGAGAACTGCCTGGTGACGACCTTAATTTTCGTGTTTGGGAGGCAGCGACAGAAATATTCTTTCCAACTTACATGTTCCTCCAAGGATTTGTTCCTATGGTAAGCAAGGACAATATGCCCGTTATCAAACCCGGCTATTTTGGCGTATATGACCCTGCTAGCGACCGAATAAACAAATCACCAAGGGAAAAGTTTCAAGAGGATAAGGTCATCCTTATGGAGCACTCCACTGAGTTTGCATTACTCTGTATTTGTGCTCCTGACCTTTTAGCAGAAGATGAGCTCACACGCAGCTTTGCGGAGGCGTTCCAAACCCATTCAGTCACCCTTTTTCTCTCCTTTGCTACGCAAGTGTACCTTGATATTCACCATACATTGCGTGGGGACGTGCGACGTGGTCTTTCTGATCTGATGGCTACAGCCAACATGATTGATGAGTCCATCAATGATAACTTTCAGTATCATAAATCCCTTCGTGTAACAGGGTGGCCTCGGTCAAATGATACTGTCCTAGAGAATATCCAGCAATTTATTGGTCTGTGGGTTAAAAGAGACCCTGTTGGGGAGGCCCGAAGGAGACTCAAACAACCTCCTAGAGAGCCTTATATGCTCTTATCCTCACACCCTCTCTTATGCGGGTTGATTACCTACAGCCTAAAAGCGAAATTCCAAGAAGTCAGCCTGGCCTTTGCAGACGCCTGGGGCTCCATATTATATACCTACCACCTCTATAACGCAGTGAAACAAGAAAAACTTCTCCGGAACAACTGGCAAGATATGGACGTCATAATGGGAATGCAGGATAAGATTTTTGTTGGAGATCGACCCCAGACCCCAGAAGATTACTTGAAACAATTTGCTCTGAGTATGGGATGGTCAGCAGCTGCATTCTCGAAAAATAGACGTCAGGGAGCTCTACCAGTTTCATCCCGAGGTCCTAGGACACTCAAGGAGCTTGCTCCAGTCGCTCAGATGTTCAAACCAAGATTCTGTGAAGGAGCCCTGCAGAGAGACTGGACGACGACAGACATTGAACAAATTATATCCAAATCCAATTGGAGTTGGGATGAAGAGGCTTCGCCTTCAGAGGGTATACGTGTGTATTCTATGTCCCGAAACATTAAGAAAGAGCAGAAGAAAGCTACTTCAGGAGCGGTTAATGCCGCCGAACTACTGAAACAGCTCCGGAA